ATCAATCTTAGGTGGCACTGGCAAAGACGAGCGGCGATTCGAAAATATTGACTCAGCAGAAGTATTTAGACATTGAGATAGTTGTTGTTCTACAGTAGATCGGTGCACTCTCTTTGTGTACTCTAAATTACACAATACATGACTTGGTAAATTAAATTTTCGACAATGCAAAATTCCAGTAGCATTTCGAAAAATTTTGAAATTCTATCGGAAATTCGATAGTATTGTTAGAACCCCGTAATTGCCAAAATTCTCATGGAATTACGATAATAATAATTCTGTATATTTTACTGTCCAATATCTACCAGAAATACGGCAACTATTAGTATTAATGGGTGTTTTAGGGTGTAGGTATGGAGCTTGTCTTCAATCACACCCACATCCTGCCCTTATTAAGTTTTAACTAATTGAGTGTGGTTCTATCTACTGCAAATATTGTCCAAATATCGGTGGAAAATGGAAAATAAAACACCTAGCAACAATGGTTATTATCGTAATTCCGAAAGAATTTCGACAATTGCGGAACCTCGACAATATTGTTGAAATTCCGATTGTCGAAACTCCATGGAACCAATGGCTTTTTAGTGAATTTATGAGTCGTGTATTCTTTTACTTCGTTTTGTTTTGATCGGTGGAATACCAGATGTTGTTGTTGATGATAAAGATACTGGTGGTAAAGAATAAGGCTGTGCCAACGTATTCTGTTCACGTGTAACGAAGCATGGTTGGAACAGATTTTCATATTTTGTTTCCTGAGTTGATACATCAGATAGAGGTCTTTCACAAAATATATTCTTTAACAATGGATTCAACTCTGATAATTGCATTTTTGCTGTTGTTTCCGTCATTAAAATTGAATTGAAGGTTTGTGCAGATGCGCTAGATTCCAGAGAATGAAATTCAGAGTTTAAGGAAATGGATAATGGTAGAGTTTGATGAAGATTGCTGTTGTAATTGGCTAGATATTGACCAGGTTGTAAATGATATCCAAATGTCATCATTTTATTATTTATATCCTGGTCAGTTTTGAAAGGAATCATATATTCGTGTGCTAGCGTTGAATGAATATGATGATCAACATGTCTAGGGTGATGTTGTTTGGATGAAATATGTTTATTTATATTCGATGATAAGAAATACATTTGTGATTGATTTCCATTTGGAAGTGCCATCTCAGTTGGTGAGATTTTCAGTTCTATAATAATGAATAAATCAAAACAAAAATTGTAAATGATTTACAAAGTTCACTACGAATAGAACTTTGTTCTATGCGGTCTAACATTCAAGTTTTATCAAGGTACTCGAAGCAAAAGGGCACAGATATCATATCTAATTGAAAATGAAAGACGAAAGAGTTATCTATACATCAGTGGTATATACTTTTTGGAGCTATATTTTCATAATTCAAATAAGAGAAGCAACAAAGTGCGTTTTTTTTCATTTTAAAAATAGAATATTTGCAATTGAAGCTTAGTACGTTGTCGCATGTTTCTATAAAATACATTTTAATTGTATTAACACATATAATCAATATTGATTTTTGAAGGAGAAAAGACTAAGTAGAAGGGAAGAGTACATGTAATTTCAATACGTAATAAGATTAGTTATAATATTTGACTGGTGAAATTTCGTGAAAGAACGATAAGAGCAAGGGTAACAAGACTAATTAAATAAAAAAAACAACGAATTGTTTAGCAAAGCTGAAACATATCTAGAAGAACAGGCAAATGTTGATATTGTAAAAATTGAAGAAGAAGAATCGCATTGTAATTATTATGCTTTTACTATATAGTCAGTGCTAAATGCTAAATTATATTTATATATCTACTTGTTTATTGACTATTGAGAAGAGTAATAGAGAAAAAACATAGCCGAAAATAGTTTTTTTTCGATAAAATGCAACTTACGAGAGAACTCCACCAACTGATACACTCCGTTTAGGTTCACATTTTGCTCATAGGTAGGGCTCATAGTGTAGATACAAATCCTTAAAGGATTCTTTTCATTAGGTCCTTGTTCTTCAGTTATGATCATCTTACTGATTTCCTCACCTATTGATTGCAAGGTATTACGAGCAAAATCAAATCAAGGAATTTTAATCTAAAATTTTGCCTAACATCGATCTCATGACCCTTATAATATCCTGCAAATTTCAATCAAAATAGACGATTTCTTTTCCAGATGTTGAACGCTACTTGTGGTTGACCAAAAGTTCTGACCATGGCATTTAGAGGATCTTGTCGGATAAGGTGACCTCTTCAGAAGTGAAAAATCAAATATACCATGTTGTAGAACTTTTTGAGGTGCGTCGGATAGTATATAGTAAATCCTGTTTTCATAAGACTTTGAAGGAACTAGAGTCCATTCACTGATAGACGATTGTACAATCACATTCACACCCACACCCAAGCATCATAAATTACTAAGTACTGTGATCCTTGGTATTAGTCGAAAGTATTTTTAAAATATTTTTCTCACATATGATTTTGTAGAGTTTTTGACGGGCTATAACCTCATATACGTAGCATGTCTGGTCGTCTTCTGAGTGTGGGTGTCGGTGTGTAATTATCTATCAGTAAACTGATTCTAGTCTCTTCAAAGGCTTACGAAAACAAGTTTACTATATATTAATCGATGTGTCTCAAAAAAGCTCTACAACATGGTACATTTGATTTTTCACTTCTGAATAGATCACCTTATCCGGCAAGGTCCTTGAAGTGCTGTGGTCAGAACTTTTGGTCAACTCTAAGTGAATAAAACGAGTTTTCACGGATTTTTTTATGAGAAAAAGTCTTTTTTGCACACTTGTCATCTCGGTAATAGAGCATCCATTTTGGCTGAAGTGTGAGACCACGTTACCAACAACTTTTAAAAATTTCCGAAGGATCAGGAAATTTTAGGAGATCTTCACCATCCTCTGCCATCTTCTCCGTTTTATGGCATTACCATTAAGCTGGGCGCCATCAAGGCATTATTTAAATGTATAATCAATATGACAGAGAAAGAAATACTGGTTCTGATTTGATTTACAATGAAGAAGTCTGGAAATTAAACAGAATTTTATTTAGTCTGTTTAACACTTTTTGCTAAGATTATGTTTACATTTATTCTTGTTACTAATCTTCATTGAATAGCTCATGATATATTAAAATTCAAAATATATTTATTCAAAATATCGTTAACTGCAGGTGTTTTAGTAGGCAATACAGTAAAATCTCTATATAGAAAACATTATGGAAACTCTTAAGAAACGTTCACTGTACAGAAATGTTCAGTTTAGAGATTTGACGCATAGCTAGTTGTGGAATGAAGAAAAGCTTCCAGGATGGCTGAGTCTATATTAATCTTAAATAAAGGCTAGCGATTTATTCTTTTGTTTATCTATTTTCATCTAAATGATTTGAATTGAAAGATTTTTCAATTAGAAAATAAAATGTTGTTTTTCTTTTCAAAAGTCTTTCCATGTTTTTCGTCTTTTTGCTTTTGAATTAATATCGACATCAATTAGTGTGGATTTCAATTCAATAAATAATTCGATGTTTCTACCTGCATACTAAGCTCTTGTTGTTATATCATGATTTTATTCATACGTACAATAGTAAATTCATAGATAAAATATACTTAACCGTAGTATACATGAAACAGGTTATAGACAGTAGAAAGAGGACAAGAAAACGTTGTACGTGTGTCACACATTGGAAAGATTATATAACAGAAAGAGGAACCGAAAAAAGTGTTCACTGTTCAGCATAAGGAGATGTTCACATAGATGAGAAGTGTTTCCAGCAAAAGATGCTCGGTCGAATTCGAGATCGTTCATAATTACAAGGTATTCACTTTAAAGAGATTTGATTGTACAAAGTTTATTTGTTTAAAAGTTAAATTCAGAATAAGTGATTATTTATAGTTCTTGAATAGTAACTATTACGAATGTACGTCCTCATTACAAAAAAAACCATTTGGATAATTTTATTTGATATAAAATTCGACTATTTTTACATAACTAATGATCAATCAAAGGCTAAATAGGATTTTTTCTACGCCAACCGTTTTTCAAAAAAGAAAGAAAAAAAAATATATATATCGACTTTTTTTGTGTTCATGTATGAATTCAATCACTAATTATCCTTCTCTTAATATAGACTAGATTCCATCGAATTAGTTCCGGACTCAGACGGGTTTGGGTCTGAAAATCTTGGACTCGCTGAGTTCTACTCATCTGAGACATGTGTAGAGTGCGGTAGTTACCAACTACAAAAAAATCACAAAAATGATCTCGTCTATTCGAGGCGACTATCCAATTCCGGTAAGAAAATTTCATTGAGAGTATCGAAGTACGATTCGATCGAATCTGAGTCCCGGCCCCCAAAACGTTCAATAAGCCGGATCGGAAAATTTTGAACGCGACAAGCTTCACTACACTCTAACTTTCTAATCGTCTTTTTTTATTATATTATTCATGATTTTCCAGTAACTAGCACCAAAAGTTCATATGCGTTAATTATCACTCTATTCACAAGGAATCATCCATATACATTATTTTTACAAATACGACTTCATCTAGTCTTTCTCTCAATCAAACTTCACTGCTTCAATCCATAAAATTACAATAATCGATTGCGGAATATCCATTATATCATAACAACTCCTAATTTATTTATACATACAACCCATAATTTTTTATTTATTAAAAAACAAGACGCAAAGAAAAAAAAAGGATTATCAAAACGACACACACACACGTACAAAGAAATTCTAAACACAGTGAAAATCAAAAAAAAATAAATAAATAACATTCATCCCTGAGTCTAGGTTTCGTCTATCAGCATCATTAATTAGAAAAAGAAAAAGAAAATGAATAATAATTATCAGACATCAAGTTTCAAATACATTTAACAATGTACGTCCAATGATTTTTGTTTTGTTTTGTTTTTTATTAATTGAAATCACCGGTAAAATCTTAGTTAAAATAAATCAATTTATTTTGTTTTTTTTTTCTTTTATGTTTTCATTTTAAATATAAAATTTGTTGGATCATCAATTATTTCTGGATAAATCAATGGATCATATCGATAAACAATAGTATAATTAGTTAAATAACCATTACTTATTAATTCATCAATTTCATTTTGTGACCATGTATATAAATAATATAAACGAAAATTTTCCATTAAATATGTTCGTTCATATTGCCAAACATTTTTTATCATTTGTGATAAATTATTATCAATTAAATATTGATATTCATCATCATATGTTGAACCAAATTTAATATGAAATATAGTTGTATTACTTATAATTAAGTCCATATCGATAAGATTATTTATATTTGTTTGTTGTCGTATGTTTATTTTAAATTGATGAAATAATGGTTGATTAAGATAAGATTTTAATTGTTGATAACTATTTAAATTCTGAAGAACATATATATGATTTTGTTGACGATATGGAATTAAATATGATTGATTAAAAAGTATAGAAAATAAATCATCATATAATGTAAATGAAATAAATTCTATTTGATTATTTGAATTTATTGATAATGTACGATTGATCCAAAAATCATTTTCATTTTGAATATGTGCTATTGAATAAGTAAATTTATTTGGATAATTTATTGTATAATGTTCATTAAAATATGAAAAAAATGATGAATAAATTAATGAATTATCTTCAAGAATTGTATTTTGATTATTAAAATACGGTGAAGATAACATTGAATCATATAGATTTGTAAAATCATAATTTAGATTTTGTAATTGACTAAGAATGTCTAAAAATATTAAGATAAAATTTTTTTTAGGATTCCTCATCAATGAGAGTTTATTTAGATTTACTTGAAAAACAAAACTATGTTTGGTATTTGTTTTACATAGTTTCGTAGATTCAGTTTTTTTTTACACCGGGTTTTCTCTTTCGGAGAAGTGATTTAAAACTCTAAGAGGGTAGACATCTTGTTTTGGTAGCACAGCCACTGAGTACGTGGTACAATAACCGCAAACTCTGGGACAGTCAATCCGATTTTCGGAGCGGCGCTGTTCCCTGGGTAAAACACTTCAGATGAATATTTGAATATCGATTTTATTTTAATTCCTTAGATTTAACTGAGTGCAGAATATTCTATTGCCAATATTTTACAAGTACTTATGTGTTTAAATAATGAATATTTCAGAATTCGGTACTTAATGAACTTGTTCCGATGTTTTAATGGAAGATACAAAGATATATATATAAGTAAGACTAGAGTGAATTTTGAAATACTATCCTCAAGTAGTTACTTTCTTACAAGAGAACTACTTGAACTGATAGGCGCTGTTTGAGTACATAATTGACCTACAAGGACGTCTCAGTAAGACTAAACAAAGTTTAAAAGGGTTCCTTTCCATACACCTTTGGAGTGAAGTTATAATCGTTTTACTGAGCTTTTGATTCAGTTTTAGGTAGTCATTGAAAAGTTAAAACACAATCAGAATTTCGGCGTGAGATTTCTCCCATAGACAGATTGAATAACACTTAGAATATTCTGGAAATTTTAGCCGAAAAGAATGTTCTTGTGCTAAGATATCGAATTTCCAAAAACCATTCGTTTGCTACACGCATGGTTCAAAAATCGAGTTTATTTAAAAATTCAATGGCTCGACCAAAAAAAAACATTCTTTTCGGCTGAAAATTTTAGGATATTCTACGAATCATCCAACCGATCTATGGATCGAAATTCTGTTCTTTGATTTTTTAATATATGCTTAAAGCTCAGTCGAAAATTCAGTGAAACGGTCATAACTCGGCTTCAAAGGTTCATGGGAATGAACTCCATTAGACTCTTGTTAGTCTAAACAAGATGTCCTTGTAAGTCCAGTATGAGCTTAAACGGTACGTGTTACTTCGGATAATTCCATCGTAAGTAGGTTTGCAACCAACAAGAACATTTGAAAAAGTATCTTTCTGAAAACTGTCCTAATCTCAGCATTTGAATTACGGTAATAAGTTAATAAATTTAGATCGATTTAGAAGTTAAATACAATACAATACTTGAATCTTACATCTTGAAATTTTTATGTAGATGATATGATAGGATGAGGAACTTGATCCTTTACAATATTATCGAATCGATATTCAAAAAAATTCATATCCGATACTCTAATGTAATGGACTACAATAATTCCAATAAGTTTTGGACTTAATAGAGTTTCTTTACCAAATAACAACTATTTTACTCGATTTTTCTGATAGAATAAAGTATTAATAAGAAAATTGAACAATGAATTTTTTTATTTGAGATTTTATGTTTTAGTAGATCTGATTGTTCAAAGAATAATCTAAAAGTCTTAATGAAACTAAACGACGAACCAATTAAATTTTCACAACAGTAACAGAAATCGAGAATATTGAGTATTTCACACAGGAAGTATTCGTTTTCATGTGAAAATTAGAGATTATTCTTCAAATCATCAGATCTACCAAACAATATAATCTCAAATAAAAAAACATCCAGCAAAATAGTTGTAATTTCCTAGAGAAAGTCTATGAACTAGAGCTCATCGTCCTGATCCGAAAATTTTTGGACTTGATGGCTTCCAGTCGTTTGAGAAATGTGCACATAGCGCTAATCATTGAATACAAAAAAAAACGGAAAAAAAGTATCTTGTTTCTTCGGAATGGCTATTCAATCCCGACTAGAAAATTTCATTAAGATTATCAAAATACGATTCAGCAAGATCCAAGTCCGAAAATGTTGGACCCGACGTGTTCTACTATGAACCCAGAACTTATTAAAATTGTTTAAGCCCAGGTAAACGATTTCGGTGCCAGGATCTGTGAGATGCCGGCAAGTTCTCGCTATAATTCTCTGAAAAATGGTAGGAACTTGAAAGTAGGAATCCAATGGTTGTATTTGTCTAAGTCCGATCAGAGCAGGCCATCGAATTCCTTTCTTGACCTGAGATACTTCTTTAAATACCAAAAAATGAAAAATTCACTTCATATATACTTTTCTCGTTCGATTGTTTCGTACATTGTTTTTTCTATTAAAACAAATTCATCTTTTCATCTCTACTTACCATTCTGATGTAATCTTTGAAAAAATATTTCATTAATATTATAAATCTCATCATTAATTTTATATAAATTCATATCATTCAATGGATTATTAATATTTGGTAAATATGTTTGTTTATTTATCCATGTTAATGGAAAATTTGGTACTAAATATCTTCCAAGATTAAGATCATATAATTTTCCATGAAATTTTTCAAAAGCACAATTTAAATCTTCATCAATTAATAAACCAGCATAACCAAATGGAAAAAATATTTTATCTTGGAAATTTTTTTCAGTTAATATTTGTCCATATAAACCATAAAATTTTTCTTGTATTAATAAACCATTATTATCATAAATAAATAATGGTGAACCAATTGAATCAGTTAATATAAAAAACTTTTTATCATTTTGTTCAAAACCAATTAAATTATTTTGATTATCATAATGAATAATTGTCATAAATTTTAATTGTGAATTATATATATGTGTTATTAATTTTCGTTGTTGTTGATTTCCATATATAAATCTTAAATAATAACCAGTTAATGGATATAATTTCATAATTAAACGTTGTTCATTATCATAAATATAATCAATTATTAATTGATTATATTTATATTTAATTAATAAACCATATGAATTAAATAAATATAATTTATTATTTGATATTATATGTAAAAAACCATTTAGATCATATTTATAATTTAATGTTAAATTATCATTTGTTATTATTTGTATTATTTGATTCCATTGATTATATTGAATAGATTGATATGATTTTGTTAAATTTAAATTATTATTTAAATCATATTGATAATAATCAATAGAATTTTGATTTTTTTTAATATTTATTAAACGTTTTAAATAATCATATTCATATATATATGTATATTTTTCAAGTTCATTTAATGATATTTTAATTTGTTCTAATAATAATTGTTTATTATTATAAATAAATTCCATATTTAAACGTTTTTGATTTTTATAATTAAAATTTATTTCTTTTAAACGTTTATATTCATCAATACGACGTGATATTGTTATAAAATTCAAATTATCTTTTATATAACATTCATATATTGTTGGATATGTTAAACGTATAAATGTACTTGATTGTAAATAACCAAAATTTTCATTATAATTTAATGTATAATTTAATTGATAAATTGTTGAATAATTTTCAAGAAAATTTCTATGATATTCTTTAGAAAATATTAAACGTAATTCAAATGAATTTATTGTATTATATTTAATAAATAAAATTATATATGAATATTTATCATAATAATAATCAATAAAATTATTAAGTAATGAATTATTATTATTATATTCATAGATTTGTTCATAAATTTGTCCACGTGGATATTCAATATGAATTTGTTTTTGAAAATTTAAATATTTATATGATATTTTACAACCATCAGTAAATGAATAAATTAAACGATTATTTTCATCATATTTATATGTTATTATTCGTTGAAATGGAAAATAAATTCGTTGTAAATTAGATTTAGAATCATATTCCCATATTTGTGTATGTAAACCAGAATAAATTAAACGATAACCATTGAAATATGTTCGATATTCAATTGTATGTTCAGCTTGATTTGGCATTATTATACCAGTTATACTTCCTGTTGAATCTTTACGTAACATAACACTCGATTGAGAACCATAAGTTATTCCAACAGGCTAAAACAACAGTGAAACAAAAGTCAATTAAAGCTTTTGACAACAAAAAATTTTTGTAAATCTCAATTAAATATCTTCTACAATCAACATCATCGAATAAGTATTTCCTACAGCTAGACATGGGCAAAATGGTCTCGGTCCGGCAGAACCAAAAATGACTTATTCCGCTAATGTCTACTTACAGTTCATCAATTTGAAGTAACACAACTCTGATCTATCAATGCCATATCACAACAACGAATATATACTCAGAAAATTATGTATAATATGAGCACCAGAATAAAAGCAAGATGAGTACACGACAAATATTTCCACAACAGTAGTGACTAGTTATGTGAGGATTTTTAACAAACGAAAGAGGAAATTTTGAAATATCTTTTTTTTTCAATTCTGTAAAAGATAAAATCATTTTAAAAATTAAGGATGTACAGTTGTAGTGTACTGGTCACCAACATTACTGATACAAGTATCTACTAAAAGATTGGAGCATATCCGTACAAAAAGGGCATATTTTGATAGAGTTGGTGTTTTAATGTGTCAGAGAACGCGGATATCATTGTAGTCGGTGCTTCAATATACCCTATGTTGATGACTCACTATCGATATTTACATCAACACTGTACATCCCTATTCAAAATTAATTGTCCTGGAGGAATATTCAAAAGATTCATGAAAATAATTTGTCGTTTCGAGAAAATTTTGATTGTGACATGTGTCTTAGATAGAAAAACTTCAAATCTTTAGTTCAAAACATAATTTAAAAGTTTATTTTCTCACATTCTTATGTTTGAGCAAATAAAATCGTGTATATGCTCGATTGAACAGTCTGGCAATGATTTTGTCTCTATTATTATCGAAGAAAAAGACATTCGGATAATTCCGTCGTTCAATTGTTGAAAACTGCAGATTATTATCTGCTACCGTTCTCGAAATGTTTCTCTTACTCTGGCAAAAGCTCATCGGGTTGGTCGTGGACTTGAGACTGATCCAACGGGTCATACTCTCTAAGTAACAACCAATTATCATATGACTATTATAAAATTATCATCAAGATTGTCTATGAAATGTGTAGAGCGTATCAATAGCAGAGTATAAATAACTGACTCTAATTTTCACTTCTGTTTTGTTTTTGGCGTTAACATTAATCATGGTTATTCTCTGGTCATTCTCGTCAAAACAATATTCAAACTCTTTTTTGATTTTAATTACAGCATTTTTTACTTTCAATTAATTTGAACTTTTATTTGAAAAAAAATGTATATTCTAGTAACTAGTTAAACTTACTTGTTCTCCATTACCATAACTATATTTAATCGATGCAAGATCATTAAAACGTTGTATTTCAATTAAACGTCCACGTGTATCATATAAAAATTCTTCATAATATAAACCAATTTTCCAACTGGATAATTTTTGATCATTATCTTTATATGTATAACTAATCGGTAAAAATCCTCGTGTATTTATTGATTTTAAACGATATTTATCTGAATACATCATTGTTAAAATTTCATTTTGTTTATAATCTTGTATAATTAATTTTTTTTCAAAATGATCAAATAACATTGTTAAAACAATATTATTATTAATCTAAAGTAAAAAACAAATATTTTATGTAGTTTTTAGTTGTTCAATATGTAGAATTACCTTTAAATGACAAGAACGTATTTGTTCATTATCATAAGGTAAAACTGAATAAATTAATGAATTTGAAAATTGAAATGTTGAATTAAATTCAATTGTTTGATGACGACTTTTTAAAGTTAATGAACGATTTGAGCTTGAAATTAATTTTACTAATGGATTTAATGTCGAAATTACTATTGTAGAATTTGATAAATCTCGACGAATTAATCGTGGTTTATTATCTATGAAAAGAAAATAATTATACAAAAAAACCTGTTATCATAATTCCTATGAGATTAAAATGTAAAACACTATGTAGTTGCTCATGCGAATCACAGGAAGGTTATTTTATTTTATCTATTTACTTCACCATCTTTCTACTTAATTCTTTAAAAATTCAATATGCAAGTAGTTTAAGAGGATGTTATTGATACACGACCTATGATCATATACCAAAACATCTGTCATGGCCTACGACGGTCACTAACTGGTGTTGGTCGTGATCTGTGGAATGGAAGTTCTAATTTGTACTTCTATACTTCAACATTCCTTTTAGATCGTGTTTTAGAAAAAATTCTTTTGTCTGATTTACTTTTTAATTGAATTGTTTTTGATTTACTCATTAAATAAGTTGTATTTTCATTTGGATTAATAATATCTATTCGATAAAATGAATGATTAGCTGATGTAATTAATTCATTGTAATAACCATCTTCATGAATAATCTATAAAAAAAAAGAAACAATATTTTTTTAATCTAATTAAATAAAATTCATACTTGTTGAATATGTCCAGCTTTATTATAAATAAAATGATTTCTAATTATATTATTTTTAATTATTCCTGTTAATAATCCATTATCATATAAAAATTGTGTTGATAAACCATTATCATCAATAATATATGAGAAAAATTTTTGTTTAGAAAAATTAATCTAAATTCAAATTAAATTAGAAAAATACAAAAGACTAAAAAACAAATAATTTACTTTTAACTTATTTCCACTTGGCATTTGAATAATATCATTTATACGCATAGCATAATCATATTTTAATAATAAACTTTTACCATTACGATAGTTTATAGATTCTAATTTACCATAAGCATTTTGAGGAGAATCATATGTAAAATTAAAGATTGTTTCACCTTTAAAAAAAACATGAAAAGAAATATTTTAAATTTAAAGAGAAATTTAAAATAAAGTCAAAAAGTTTAACACACTTATATGTTTGAGATATTTTCTTCATGGTAATAGATAGGATGAATAAGAAAAAATATTTGAATATTCGAAAGAGTTCTCTGAAAAACCAAGATTTTAAAAAAACCAGTCTTCTAGATTTGATTGGAAATAAGATCATCTGATAGAAAAAAAAGATTTCTGAACAAAATGAGAAGTTTCTCAGCTCTTTATAACTTTTCTTTATTTAACTGCAATCAACCTACGAATGATTTCAATACTATTTTTTCGAAAATTTGTTGTGTTTTACGTTTCAGAATATTTCGTAGATCAACTGTAGTTTGATAAAGAAAGGTCGTAGAGAGCTTGGAGATGTTTCGTTTCGTTCAGAAATGTTTGCTTTGGAAGTCTAGATTTTCAAGAGATTCTTTCCTCTTAAAATTTTAATACAAGATAAGAAGTTCTTTCAGCTAATCAAATGCTTTTTCGATTTTATCCTACCTATTACCGTGAAGAAAATATCTCAAAAATGGTAAAATTTTTGCTTCCAATATAATAATTCATGTATTCTATTATGGCAGATACTCCAATGAATCGTAAGCCTTTAATATTTCATGGTACATAATATCTCAAACTCTAGAAATGATCAGTTTCTTGCTATGCAGTACGCAGAAGGTATATGTTATTAAGTTTTTTCAAAGAGTTTTTTCATTTTATCAATCGATTATATAGAAAAACTTATTCTGTATCCATAGCTTCTTCATCTCGTTCATGACAGTGACTGCTATCGTAGGCTTATAATAGCTTCAATAGAAGATACTTGACTTATTGCATTGAATTTTTATATTCGTTTTATTTTCGCTTTATATTAATTATTAACTCATTAATCACGAATACAGATGTGCGGAACCAACTTTAGTCCCGGTCACCAGAACCAGATTAGATTCACGAAAGTTATAACCGAAAGCACGAAAAAACTTGATCCTGCACATCTTTGGTTACATAAAACATATATATTTGGGCTTTCTGACCAATAGTAATCATTAGGATCTTCTTCTGTGAACATTCATACATGAACAAAATAAATTATTTTCTTTTCGACTTCGAATAGAATTTCGCTTCGTTCATGAAATAAAATAACGCCAGCTAATTTTAGAATGATTAGTAATATCTTATGAGAGAAGCTCTTTAGATGTCCATTCATTTTTCGATCGAGACAATGTTCATTTGATGAGTAATAGAAAACTCTAGAATGGTTTGATTTTCCGAGCCTTTGTTCTTGAGATATTGAAATTTTACTGGGTTTATCAATAAAAACCTGTGGTCGCGTGAAAAACCGACTTTCGACTTCAAACTTTGTACGAACCAAGTTCTCACATGAGAGAATTTTGAATACCTAAAGTCAAAACTCGAAAGCCAATTTTTCACGTGTCTTTAACTTTGTGTTAAAAAAACTCAGTAAAATTTCGATATCTCAAGAACAAAGGCTCGGAAACCGAAACTACTCTAGACTTTTCTGTTTCTCATCAAATGAACTTCGCCTCAGTCGAAAAGCAATTTAACATTTGCAGAGATTCCCTCGCCAAATGTATTGAAAAATCAAGTTATATTTTGAAAATAAAAATTTCTACAAACCTGTTAATGCATCAATAGTTGCTCGATGTTGTCCAACTCTATTAAAAACATAAATTTCATTTTTATCTGTTGAATGAATATTTAAACCATTATTTTGTTCATCTTCATTTGTTAATGATATTGATTTTAATTTAAATATTTCTTTTGAAGGAATATTTGTTAGAATGATTGAACCATCAGGATAATTAATAATTGATGCAAGATTTATTTTAATATTATTTAAATTAAGATTTAAATTTTCTAATTGATTATTTGATGAACGTAATACACGAATAAATGGTTTAAATTTTTCTAATATAAATAAATCACCTTGATAATTAAATGAAAAATCAATTGGATTATTTAATTGAATAAAATTTTCATTATTTAAACAATTTAATGATTGACCAAGAATTATTTCAATAAGATTAAAATTAATTCTTATACGATATAAATACATATCATCAAGTACATATAAATCACCATCAAGTGGATGAATATGTAATGTTGTTGGATTATAAAGTTTAAACTAAAAGAAAACAACAAACTTTATTAAAAAAAAACAAAAAAACTTTCTATTATGATTTCATTCGAACCTGATCAAGTGAATAAGTTCGATTACATGATAATTGTTTATGATAATCAATTTGATATTCATATGATCCAATAAGATTTGTAACATGACTATTATCAATACTTAATTTTCTTATACGTTGTCCATCAATAAAATAAATTGTTCCATAACGATCAATTGTTAAACCTTTTGGATATGATAATGAAACATGTTTTGCTAATTGTTCATCACCACATGTTATATTATAAATTAAATCTAAGGTACAATAATGACCATCACCAACAACAATTTCATAATTTTGTTTTAAATTTTCAATAGAATCTGTTTTTATTAAACGTATTATTTGTCGACGATGATAATCTGATATATATAAACGACCATCAACAGGATCTGTTGTTAAATAATATTTATATGTATATTGTTCATTTAATTCAAGTACAGGTTTAACAAGATTATTTGTTGATCGATACATCCATATTATATTTAAATCACCAATATATATTGTACCATCATTACTAACAGTTAAACTTGTTGGATTAAGTAATTTAGTTAATAATGCTGGATTTTCATAACAATTTCGACAATCAATTGAACGTGATTGATCACGCATACCAATTAATGTTGAAAATTGAAGAGGTGAATCTGTAAGTAACATATTTGTTCCATCACCTTTATGTAGAATACCTAATAAGAAAAAGATTATTAATAACATTTTTATATGACATTAAGAGATGAGCTACTGAATATTAATTTTGAATATAAATAGCAAAAGAAATGCTTATAAACAATCTAACATTCTTCTAAGATAGAACAAACAGAATTAAGCCAATACGCATATCTTTACAATTCGAATGCCATGAACATTTCTTACGGGTAACCAAGAGTAGAGCTCATTGGATAGATCCCGGATGGAGATATATAGGATAAACTTTTTTCGTAGGTTGTATCTTGACTGAGAGAAATTTTCTAATCCTTACTCTACAGTGTACATCTCTAAATCCGGATCCGACCAGATCCAGACCTGAAAATTTCGTGTTGATCGAGATCGACTCTACGGATGCTACTCTGAAAGTAACAGACCGTCAGGATAGCCTAAGAAATGTGTAGGGTGCAAACAATTGAAAAAAAATGTATCTTGCATCTTTGGAGCAGCGATCAAATTTGAAAGAATTTAATCAATCGGGTATGAGCTCTGATTTGGAAAAATGTTAAATAAATCGGGTTCGCATTCAAAAATTTTCCATCCGACGAGCTCTAACCAAGTCTTCGTAATTTGAAGAACATCTCCAATTAGACTTCTCTGATTTATAACGAATGCAATAAAAATCGATATCAAGATTATCGATACTTTTTGGGAATGCAAGCTGCTAAACATTCAGCAGCAAGTGTTTTCATCCTCGGAGCGCTACAAGTGATGGCCAGGTCGATGAAAGAACGAAATCCACCGTGATCTGGCCTCTCTCACAACAGACGACTTGATACCAGGCCATCTCTCACCCAATCCTATTCATCTCGCAACAACATTGCCCACTTATTTTTATTCCACTTTCTACTAGAGACAGGCAAATAATGTTTCAAAACCGATTTATGTCTAAAATTATCATGAAGCTATTAAAAGTTAGCAGAGAGTTAAACATTTGAGGAAGGAAGGCCTCTTGATTGACATACTGTTTGGTGGCAAACATACAATACTCAAAAATCAAATTTTCTTTTTGCTATTTCTAATAGGAATATGTTTTATAATGCTTTATTTCTTTTTTCATCAAGGACCATCAGTGAACTTTAATGCGAATTCGTTTCTAAAGCATATCAAAAAATGATAATATTTTACCTAGACTAGTTAATGCAAGTCTATCAATCAACTTTTCAATTTAATTCTCCTGAACTAATGAAACTGTCATACATCTCTATTGACATTCAATTTAAAAATAATTATAATTTACCTGATTGAATATTTAATTTATGATGAACATTAAATGTCCATCCACCAATATTTGCTGTTGGAATATCTTGTCCAGTAATTTTTACTGATTTTCGATACCAATCAATTTGATTACAATTCACATATTCATATCCAATTGAAACTATTATAAGACAATAAAATTTGATTATATAATTAAAAAAAAAACTTAATTTATTTATTTGAAACATACCAATAGCTTCAGCTAAACCATGTACATTTTGATCATAAGCATTTCTTCTTGACCATTCATATTCATAAATTAAATTTGTATCTGCATGAAATTTTTTCATAAAAAAAATTCCTTCAATACTTATACTTAAATGTATTTGTATTAAATCATCATCAATATAATCTCCTGTTAATACAATTGTTAATATTGATTGATAACGTCTTGTACTTGATGAACTTAAATAAATAAATTTTATAGGTAAATCATTTTTATCAATTGATATTGATTGACGAATTATTTGTGAACCTAATGTATATGCATAATCAAATTTATTATTTGTTATAAAACTTCTATCAAGACTAGTATCCCATAATTTTGGTTGAAGAATTTCAGAAAGATTTCTATGACACATATTATTTTCAATAATTTCATCCATATAAATATAACCAATATGAAGAAAAGTATTCCATGGTACAATGAATGCATATTGTTTGGTTTGAAATGGTTGTCGAATAAATTGAATAAGTACTGAACCACCACCATTAATTAATAAATTAAAACTAAAATATTAAAAATGAAATAGATATTTTAATTTAAAAAGGAAAGAAAAAAATTTTTTTTTTCTTTACAATCCATCTTTATCTGATATTGTATAGCCTTGATTTGGATTATTAAATACTTGAACTTTAACACCATTAAGTGGAAGAAATTTTTTATAAAATATCTGACCACGTATAACTGATGCTCGTCTAAAGTAAAACAAAAAAAAAATAAATAAATGAGATTTTGATTTTGATAGTCATGTGTTTTTTTTTCTATGGTCGAAACATTTTCACAAAACAATACAAAAACATCGAATAGATCACCTCTTATCGAATGCAGATGCGCTGAAAGAATTTTTAAGTAATAGAAAAAAAAAATTCAAAGAAGAAAAAGAAAAATATTTTAATACCGTTCATTAAATGATGTATAAATCGATGATGTTTGTAATCCATCTTCTTGAATTAAAAATTGCATACGTTCAAAAAATGAAGCAGATGGACTTGGTGCTTGACGTCTTAATAATCTATAGAAAAAAATTATTTATTTAAAAAAAAAACTTTTTTTTTTTTTTGTTTTAGTTTAATTATTTATACATGTCTTTAGCAGTTGTTCTTGAAATACATTCTATAGTTGATTGACATCGACTTGATGAACAACAATCAGGATCAAGACAATCAATAAGACCATCTAAACAAATTTTTGTTAAATAAATCATTTTTTATTATTTTAATAAATTTTCAAGTTGAATACTGCTTTCTATCTTATTATTAATATATCTTAATAATTCGAACACATTTGATTTCTTTTAATCTCTAATTTTATATTTCAATATCGTATTAATCTTCAATTCAAATACAGTAAATTAACCTAACAAAGTCTCATGTAAAATCGAATGAACACAATATGAATTAACCAGAGGTGTCAGCCGATCGGCAGAGTCACCGCCAACGCTCCAGTGGTTCAGTCATGCCGCCACAGTTCCCCTAAATAGTGGCTGAAAATCTCGGCTGCTACAACCGAAACATAAAAGTAGATACTAGAATTTTGGACGTTCAGGATCAGTTTTTAGGGATATTCTTGTTAAGTTTCTTAGCATCACATTCTCTACCAGTATTGTCACTTCAAAATCTCAGGGAGTTCAGAAAATTTTCCACCGCCGCTGATTAATGCATCGGTTTACATGTCTAATAATAATTGTGATTGATTCTCTTAATAATTTTACTACGGAAATATCTTGGTAGACTATTACTGTTGACTAGAAGTTTTATTCCAATTGATTTCAACTAATATAAACGTAAAGTAAAATAAATTCGGTAACAAAAAAAAATTTCACAGTAAGTTAATTCGAACTTAATAAAAACCTTCGTCATCTATTTATTACTATTAACTTTCTTGTGTTTCGAATTGATTTTCAGACAAGTCTTCTATACTTCTACAGCTGAATAGCATGAAAATACGACAATGTTCGATTTAGAATTCTAATAGATTCTAATAAAATACTAACCATTATCATTATCGATTTGATCGTTGCAATTATTTTCAATTGTAAATTGACATTCTGGTCCAAACCAATTAGTGTGACATATACATTTATTTATTTTACATTCTCCATGTCCATTACAATTATTTGGACAAGCATCTAAAGAATTTCATCATCATAATTATTCTCATTATTTTTCAATTAAATGTACAAACCTATTTGACAATATCGACCAGTATATCCATTTTGACATAAACAAGTTCCATTATTATCACATTGTTTACATAGTCTTGAACAAATCTTTTTCATACAATTTTCTCCTATCCATCCATCATCACATTGACATTTATCTTTATTATTCATAGAACATTTTCCATGAATACCACAATCAATATTACATTTTGCTTTAAATATGAAAATTTTATTTTTTAGTATTAATAAAATACAAAAAAAGAAATCTACTTACGTTGTGAACAATCTTCACCTGTCCAGTTATTATCACAAATACACATTGATTTTGGATAATCAACATATTGTCCATGTTCTGAACATCGATTATCACATTGTGAATGAATTAATAATGAACAATCATCATTGGTATATCCATGAAAACAACGACATTTTCCTTCAATACATATACCATGATCGCTACAATTAACATTTTGACATGAAACTTCAAACAAAAAAAATAAAAACAAAAGATATTTATTTTTATTTGTATGTGAATATTTTAAAAAATAATCATACTTTGTTCACAAAATTTTCCTTGATAACCACTTTGACAAACACATTGACCAGCAATGCAAGTACCTCGATTATTACAATTACTTATTTCACATTGATTGGACATTAATTGACATTCAGCACCATGCCAACCTTCTTGACAACGACATTGTCCATATTCAATAACACCATGTCCACTACATAAATCTGTACATTGTGCTAAAAAATAGAATCATTAAAGAAAATAAAAGTCTTTCTATATTTCAAATATCTTTTCTTTACCAATTGAACAATCCGATCCTGTATAGGATGGATAACATATACATATACCATGTTGACAAATACCATGATTATTACAATTATTTAAACATGTACGTTCATTTTTTTGATCAATATGTTCAATACTTAATTGAAATTTTTCTTTAAATAAACCATCATTTATTATTGTTATATACCAAAGTCCTGTTGTTAATAATTCATTAAATAAAAGTATTAATTGTTCATCATTAAAATTTGTTATATAGATTTGTGATGTTCGATTTTGTGATAAACTTCGACGTACAAGATGATGTTGTTGTTGTTGTTGAGGATTTTCATGAAACGAATGAAAAAAATCAAATTGAGTTAAACTTGGTGAATTCGATCGTTTACCATAAATACCTGAGAAAAAAAGAAAATAATATAATTTTGTTTTTTCATTTCTATCTTATTAAAGTAAATAGAATTAACATCGTAGAATTCAACGGTAGGGAGCTGCGGATTCACGTTTTTATGAATCTGAACCAGATACAAATCGACTCGAATGCGATTCAAAGCCGGTCAGAATCCGACTCGAAGTTCTCTAATTAATGAATTTTTCAATTATAAACTATTATTTATAGAAATTTTTATAATTAGCAAAGGAATTTTATTTAGAATATTTTTTTATAGTTTTCTTTACCAAAATTTGCTTGTCGATTAGCTGTAAAATTAAATTGTATTGAAGTTGTTCGTTCAATATAAAACTGTAATTGTGTACTTGATTGTGAATCAATCGTTTCTTTTATTTTATCACCAATACGAATGAAACGTGTCGTTTTACCTAAAAACAAAAAAATATTAAAAAAAAAATTAATTTAATTTAATCATACAAACCATAAAATAAATTTTGTTGACGAATTTTTGGTTGTGTTAAATTGATTTCTCGAAATGTTGGATGATAAAAATGCATGATTGATAAATAAATAGTTGATATTAAGAAACATAATGTTGTTAAAATAAAAATAATGGCAATTGTTTTCCATGAAAAAAAATTTCTTTGAAAATAATTTTCATCAGTTTTTCGTTTTTTTAATCGACATGATGAATTATTAAATAATGGACATGGTGAATGTGTTGATTGTCGTGTTGTTGTTGTTGTTTGTTCATTATATGTTGTTGAATCACAATTACAACGAATATGTGAATGGGAATGATGATGATGATGATCCAACGGATAAACATAACAATTATTTCGAAAACTACAAGCAAAAAGAAAGAAGAAAAAAATTATTCATGTCCTTGTTATGTCAATCCAGTATTTAAATTGTTAATTAAATCAAATCAAATAATATTATTATCTATGTTATAAAAGAAAGGAAAAAAGAATTTGGACATGTCTATTGTTCATTCAATGATCAGCCATCCGGGTGTGACTTACTTTTTAAGTCAATACACAACAAAAAAAAAAAGACTAATTTGATTTTTGTTGACAATTGCACCCTAATACATACACACACATCATCCCATTAGAATGAAGAGTAGTAGCTATTACGCAAGATTACTTTACTTGATATATATGTGCGTGAAACAGAGACAGAGAGTCTAATTTACATTGTGCAAACATAAACTATATGTATACATACCAAGGCAGTAATGGCGTATCAGGAAAGATCTCATTCTTATTGTCATTTGAATGAATTACATATTCACGATGACTGGAAAAGAAAAAAGAAAAAGATTGATATTTTAATACAGACGTACAAGTTAATTAGTCCTACGGGAGTATATAACAATCGTTATTAAGAGGTCTATACATGAACTTTCTTTTTTCTTTTCTTTGTTATATTTAGACACAGGTGAAAATATTTGCTTTTTGTGCATTAACCGCATTTTAATCAATCAACGGGATATATAATCAAGTGGCTAACAGACCAAGCTAATAAACATAAGTCTTATTCATTCCGGATGTACTACTAAAAGCTCTTTTCTTTTCTCTGCATATATATATATATATATATGTCTGACTGTTTGATGATAATGAGAATAAATAACGTGTATACTTCTGTCTATGTTTGTTCGAATAATGAACATCAAACATACTTATTGAAAAAATAAAAAGAAGTAACTAACCTGTCGGCATCAATTGTCTGATAGACATTTGATAAATTAGAGTGTGGTCGATCAATAGTTGACATTGTTGTTGTTAGTTGAGTAGAATTTGGACATGAGTAGGCGGAAGATCGAAGAGGAAGTGTACCATTATTAATATTACTACCGTTTGGATCAATAGTCGAAGAAGACATTAATGTACCTAGACAAAAAGAAAATGAATATGAATTTATTGACTGGAAGAATTCCATATGATGATATTGTGGCATTTAATGTGTAATATAATAGAGAAATTGGATAGACTAAACAAATCTCTCACGTTTCATAATCACCTGCCGGACACTAGGAATGAAGAATACTATTGAATATATACATATATATATGCTTCGATATGTGCCTTATTTCGATCATCATCATGCATCTTAATATGGTTGAATGTATCATGTGACAGTAGATAAATGAGATGCGATACTATTTAGCTAGCTTTCGTAATCTTGCAATGCAAATTCTCATTCTTCTTTACACGTGTATATATGAGTTCATCATTAACATCATCGAACAGTAATATGAATGACAAACTGAAGGTCATTGATTAAAATAATGACTCGATATCTATAATATAAAACTGACCTGAGATCAATAAATGTCTTGCATTAACTAGTATGCCGGATGGAAACTATGAAGGGCGATAAGTCTTTTTCTTCTTCTTCTTCTTCTTCTTCTTTCATATTCATCTTTCTTTCTTTCTTTCTTTCTTTTTCCTTTTCTCTGGTGTGTTCATCAGACTGTAGGCAAATTCAATCGACACTACACACATACATACATACACACATACAGGCGCAACCAACTGATAAGAACCGAGACTAATCGATCTCTGCTGGAATGATATCTCCGTGAATGCGTGCATGATTCTCTTTTTGCTTTGTCGTCAATTGATTACTACAGTGGCTCGAGTGCCGTGTCGAAGACAATTATAACAAGAGTTTGTCACCGCCGCTAGATAGAAGAATACCATATCGAACCCGATGTGTTCGATCAAGAGAAAGAAAAAAAGAGTAGAACTCAGGGTCAAACACGACATCCGCCAATAGTTAGAACTCAACAATTACCAGAATGTGTACGCGAGCTCGTAATCAAACGACTATATAAAAAAGAGAGGTCACCGAATGCACAATCAAGTCCTAATAGAGCTTACTTCCTCTCTTAGTCTTGCATATGCATACATCCGGATCAATATTACGATATACATACGCTTAAAACAATCAAACACAAATTGAAGAAGAAATCTATTCTACTAACTATACCTTGTGCATGTGGTATTAAGAGAGCATTGCCGGTTTGTGTTTGTATCATGAAAGCAGTACAAGGTGTTGATGATGGTATTGGTGGAGGCGCAGATGGGGCAACGGCATGTGAACTTGATGAATCAAAACCACTATCAGCCATATAGGCATTAGTTGTCGTTGAAGTGTTATCACCGCACAAAAGAATCGAATTACGTGTTGTTGTTTTGATCTGACTGAGTAATGTTGTGTGATCAACAGGAATCATAGGAGGATGAGGCGGTGGTAGTGGAGGTGGTATTTGTGGTGGTGTAAGAAGTGGTGATAAAACAGTTGAATCCATTCCAGAATGACTTCCTTAAAAAAAAAAGAATAACAAATATATGAATTGCTCAATCGTATAACAAATAAATATCTTTTTTTACAATCTTATGTTAGTCAATTGTCCTTCTTGCAGTCCGATGATCAAACGATGACTGGACACTCTTAACCTTTTTTTTTTCTATCTCGACGTGTCCACGTCAATAGTCACTTCACATAAATAGCTAGAAGCGTTTTATTTAATTCAAAAGAAGAAAAAAAAATCTACCGATATATATGATTAATCATTCATCGAAATAAACTTACATCGTATGAAAAAATATAATGTTGCGTGTATTAACTCAACATTGTTCTGATTGCTTACTAGTACCACTTGCATGTTACTTGGTATTCATTATGATTTTTTTACTTTCTCTTTATGTTGAACGAAGCAAAAAAAATGAGCAAAGGCGAGAAGTATAAAGTCTTCTATATTGTACGTAAGTGCAGAATAAAAAGGTGTCGACCACTACTACTTTCTTTTTGATCGTTTCCTTGTCTTCTTGCTCTCTCTCTCTCTTTCTTTGTAACACTTTTTTTTGTCTCTTTCTCTTTCACTCTCTCTTTCTTTTTCTTGCTCGTTACGCTTAGACGACAATCGCTTTTACTATAACATACATACAACGATGGCAGAAGAGAATAAGTCACTTTAGATTTCTTCCAATTGGATGTATATCTATTTTAAGTTCCAATTCAAACAAAAAAAAACGTAGAGCAACCAAAGCGTGATAACACCATTGTCTAGAATTGCCTAAACTGTCTATTCTTGACACAACATTTATATATGTGTCTGTGTGTCCTTTTTTGATTAAATTTGATGACAAGCTGAACGAGAAAGTTGCAATTAATTTGAAACGATCATCAATAATGTGCATATGTGGGTATGTATGTATGTGCAACAGTTTGTCGCCCATCGAACGTCGTCATCATCATCATTTTGACCTGCATTTCTATGGGTTAGTTATTGTAGCGCGTGAAACGAAGGAAAGGGCCATATATACAATACAATTGAATGCAAAAAAGTGCTTCAAGAAGTATATATATATATATATGTATATATAGTAATAGTAAAAAGTAACAGTAAGAGAAAACAAAACAAACATCATATTTGACTATCGTCTCTATGAACAATTTTAATTACGATCTTGAGCTAGACGAACAGGAGGAGTGTATTGAAAAGACAGAGATGCATAAAAAAAGAAGAAAAAAAAAGAACAACGAGGACCACCAAGTGATTTTTAATGTTATTTACTCGTGACTAGTTTGATATGTATGTTATACTGAAGTTTTTTATCATTACTAGACAATCGATAATACACTGTTCTTATGAATAGTTGAGCGACAGTTAGATAGGATCATCAATCGGCGTATTTCATTTGCACACTAGAGAACAATAAATTTATTCTATATTGCGTGATTCATTCGTTTATATTATGTGTATTAGATCGACTGGTGCGATCTAGAATATTCAATTTCTCGTCGTTGTCACCACCTTAACATGTAAAAAATTGACATACCATGCAATATTACGTGACAACACATACAAATATTGTTGTATGAATAATGAAAAAAAAAGAGAAAAAGGAAAAGAATGTCGTCATTGTTCTGCGATCGTAAGACAATTAGATCGATTGAAATATATCGAGGAAAAAAAAGAAAAGTTTTTTAGAAAATCATGATTTTTTGCTTGAATAAATCGATTGCTCGAGGATAACCTAGCAATGATCATTGTTGATGATAATTGCCATTGGAACAAAACATATATTCCCACCCGCTATGCTTAGCATGATGTCTCAAGAAAGTGTGAGTTAATTCGATTAGAAATGCCGTAAGCAAGAAGACTAACTGAGAAATGTTATTTCAATATATACATATAAAAACATACTAAATAGAAAATGAGTTTTTTTTTTTTCGTTTTGTTTTCTATTCAACTAACCTGATTCTTCATCATCATTGCTTGTTATTGGTGGTGATGTATTTGAATCATTTAATGAAGAATTTGATTGTTCAATATAATGTTCAGATATAGGTTTCATATTTGTATTCGAATGTATACATCGATCAATTGTACATAAAAGTGCGGCATTCGTTGTAACATTCGGATTATTGTTAACATTTATTTTATGTTGAAGATATGGATGATGTGTACATGAACATAAAATAATGTCTTTAGTAGTTTGATGATGTCGTTTATGACATGATGATCTGTGAAATAAATTTGTTGATGGTGGCGGAGGTATTAACGATGTACAACAGGATGACGATGTTGGATGAACACCTGTGCATAAAAGAAGAGAGAAAAAAAAAATTAGCCCCTATCGGCTCTACATTCACACACACACACCAAACAACACAAATAATCGTTAGTTGAGAACATTAATGAACCACACACACGCGCACTCAGACACTTTAACCCTTCTCTTCGCATGCCGCTCGGCAGGGGTACAACAGACTGTTCTTTTCATCTTGATAGGTAAACAAGATTCACTCACCAGATTCTCCTCCTATGCTCTGGTGACCTTATCTTATATATATATTATTCTCTTAACCAAAAAAAAAACCGCTTCATATAATATAGAAAAATCTTGATAAAGATACTTTATAAACTATCGTTAGTAATTTGTCAAAGATATTATATATATATATATATATGTATACAATATTATCCGTTTTATGTAACTCTTTCGATTGATCTTTTCGATTGCGAGTAACAATCTATTGTGCATCATGCATTGATGAACATCTGTGTCCCAATATACACTCTCAGGACTTACATCATGTATAACAGAAGAAGAAAAAAAGAAAAGAAATCTCTTGTGTGTATACATGCATATATATATGCATTTGAATTGATCATGCAAAAGGAAACTGTACGATTGTATTTCATCCAAAATATACACGACAATGACGATTTAATCGTGCATATCCACCATGGTCATTCTCAATTCAAACATAATTACATAAGACTAGAATAACAGGCATATTCTATTTCTTTAGTTAGAAAAGACAACTGGTTACAATAAATACACACGAGAGAAAAAAGGGAAGAGTATATTAAGATGTTACAAGGACACAAATGTCGCATGAGGTTAAAAATTGAATTGTCATTGATGACGCGATTTTAAAGATATGACAAGCAATCAAAAAATAAAAAAGAAATAAAATAATCACTAACAATGAGGATAAAATGTATACTATAGTCATCAACATCATTATGATTAATCTTGTCAATATGAACATGAATATTTCACTTCAAAAAACTATCAATAAATGATCGAACAAATATAATGAGCATGATTTGATTCAATCATATATATATATATATATACATATAAATGACCAATTTGTCATGATATACAAGAATAGAATGACTAGTTTTGATATTCATCATCACGATACACATTAAAAAAAAAAAAGTGATGATATGTATCATGATCAATCTTCATGAAATGAACAAAAAACATATTTGTTAAAAGAAAACATGTCAGATCATAATCATTTATATTTAAGGTTTGTTTTATTTCATCTTAGAAATCTTACTATATTGTATTGATGTTTGTTGTTTTGTATTTGACATCGAAGAGGAGGAGTTATTGTATGAATCTGAATAATAACCACTTTCAACTTGCCATCCATGAGATGATGATGGAGGACAATGAATATTAACCATTGATGTCCGTGACGTTGTCATAATCTTAAGTTAAATGAAAAGAATATGAATAAAATATAAAAAAAACGCAAATCAAACCAACATTATTTTTCTCTTTCTCTCTATGATCAAATTTCTCTTCTCTTATTCTCTCTTTTTTTTATCGTTCATACATTCATTGTATATACTTATGTGTGTATGTGCATCATCTGTGATTAAAAAAAGACAGATGAATATCAACATATTTACTTCTCGACTTTGCTCACGTAATGCTATGAAATAGGACAAAAAAAAAATCGAAGAAATTAGACAGCTTCTGTTTCTCTTAGGATCTTAACTGATAGGTATCGATATCGATGATGTTGATGATTATTGCATCAGAAAAGAGACGTATTTCGTGCTGCAAATCATCATCAGACTAAAAGACTAGTCGCGTCTTATTACTTAATAATGACAGCTCAACTCAATCAATCTGTATCATCAATATTGACTTTCTGGATCGGATCAGATAGCACATATTGCTTAAAGATTATTTGTGTTTCGTTTTTTAATTATAATCATTCAGATATAATTAAAGATTAAACGAATCAAATATATTAATTAAAACTTCGAATTCTCAATCATAAAACACTGAATAAAAAAAAAAGCCCAAGAAACTATCTATTTATCGATCCATTTATCTTTTTTTTTTCTGTACAAAACATACTTAATTTTATTTGATATGAAGACAAACATATATACGACAAAAGTTATCATCCTTCGGCAAGGTCTTTTAAAATTATATTATGTAGAAATTATCCATACTTTCAATGAATATATGTGTGATCTTGTTGACATTTGACTGAGCACATACACATGGTCAATCTGATTATGAATAGTAATAAAAACACTACCAATGTCATATAATCGAAATATTCAAAACTTTACTTCTCTCTCTTGTTTTGAATAATTGACACGTGAACGTTAAACGTGTATCATCTCACATTATTTACATAGTGAAGGGTAATGGTGGGCTCTTCTCATATTCAATGTTTTTGTTCAATCGATAAAAACGACAAATAAATCTAATCTCGCACCATGCTGCACATTTTTCTTTTTCCTTTCTAATGATTTCGATTGAATATAGCAAACATTAGGATATCACCAACCATCATTTGATTCATATCATTCAATGAATATGGAGAATAAATTAAAGCAAGCTGGGTTCGTATGTATGCCAAAAATACAATAACTGTCAATCAATATACAAACACAAAGTGAAACATGTGCTGAACACCACAGGTGATTTTTATTCAAATGAGACAAAGAAAAACCAAGTGTTTTTCTCTCTCTCTTTCTCTCGCGTTCAATTAGTGACCTAAGCTAATAGAATAACAAAAACATACATTCATCTATATATATATATATTTATATATATACGCATATCTATGTAGCTATATATGTCGACTAACAGTAAAAGAAATCACTTAATTGTAAATTAAATTGACTTGACTCGAAGCATTTCTATTCTTATCAGTACGGTTCATTTCTTTATGATTTCTTTTTTTAATCTACCTTCACTAGATAAAAAATGATGATTGTTTGAAACCTTAGTTTTTGTGACTGGTATATAAATGAAAGTAAGATGCAATTCGAAATGAATATGAAGCCAAACTATCAGACAACAAAATAGGTATTCAAAAAAAAAAAAAAAAAGAAAAGAAAATTCACTTCTATATTTTAGGTGAGGTCAATGAATTAGAAGAAAAACAAAAAAAAAATCAAAAGATATCTTATCGAATTTTGAGACGCAATACTTACGATGACAAGTGTTCGCACATACTTAACCTATGAATATCAAGAATATAGACAAGAGAAAAACAAAAAAAAAAAAAGAATTGATCGAACTTTAGCCTTAAGCATTTACTTTTTCTCTTCAATTCTTCATTTGATTTGGAGTCAATTATCAAACAAGAAAAGAAACTAAATCGACGATCGAATTTAGATATATGAAAAAAGAAACCAATCTTTGATCATTGACATATGTTCATTTCTCATATTTACTATTTTAATCTAAGTACACCTGCCCAATTTCCATGGGCGAGTACAAAAGAAAGATAAAAATGTAACATTCTAGATATATCTTTTTTCAAGTTCAGAAAAAAAAGAAAGAAAAGAAAAGTAGTCCTTGGTCATACACACATCTGGGGACCTTCTTGGCTCTCATCGCTAACTTCTTTCGAAGCTATTCACACATAATTTATATATTTATTTTCTTTGACAAAAGACAGCTGGCTCACCTGGTCATCAAATCTTGATTGTTTAATTGATTCATTTGAACATATGGATACATGCATGCGCTTGAGATAACAGTAAAATAGACGAACAATACGGCATCATAAACAACTTTATTATTAATCTTCGAAACAATGACGTTTATTTCACGCTCGAACTATGATAACTATACAAATATATTGAGAATAAGAAAATAAAGAATGAACATCAGGGACGATGATCGAGTATAGAGAAAAGGAGTAAACTACGCATTTCCAGATAATGCACTTATTTAGGCTATTAATTTACACATACATTGAATGAAGACAACGGCTGTTACTAAGACCACAAGTACGATAAACCATGCACGAAATAGATATTTGATCGGTCCCTCGGGGACATCAAGATGACGATGGAAGAAAGAAAAAAAAAGCAAAGAAATTTGTACTGATCGATACAAAACAAATTGGTCATCAACTATGATAGACGATGACCTGAGCGGAAGAAAAGATTGAGCGCTGACATAACTCTTTTTTTTTTCTACAAATGCCGATCAATCGTTTGTGGTCAGTTAGACTCAACATCTCAACAGCTCATTAGGATTCCTAGTAGAGCTCAGAAAAAAAAGACGCCCAAAGGAACTAATCGGCTCATTGATAGATTTATTGTCGTGGACAATACTTACGAGAGTTCTTTACGTATAGTAGTAATCAAATGAAGTGAATCAAGTCAAAAATGCGTGGAGACTAGAAAATGAACATCATCATCATCATTCATCTCGTTCTCATCTATTGGAGACATACTGAGAAATCCACTCGACAACGAGAAGATAGTAGGGCGGCGATGTTAACATTGTCCTCTTGAAAAATTAGTACACAGCTGTATCGAAGTACTCAGACAGACAAGCGTAATTTATCTGAATCGAAAGAGTAAAAAAAATGAAACTAACTCGAATTGAATCATTTTGTTGATGACAATAATAACAAAAGAAAATGAGAATTATTTATCTATTCTTAATTGTATTTTTTATCAACAGCTGCAACATTCGTGTTTATATGTGTCAAGTTGACATTTATTTCACGATTAAGAAAGTAGATAATAGGCAAACCATGGGTCATTCAATACTCGAGACAATAATGTCTGTTGAACGTCAAACCTTTAGCTAAGGAAGGAAATGTGGCGTGTTGCCAGACAATAGATACATACGTCTCTTTAAAAAAAAAGTAGTATTGACGGAAACAAATCATGAGTGGCACGAGGCGAGAATTATTATCACTTCATCTTTTTTTCTTGATTGATCATCGGTGTGAACTTTTCATATACAAATCAATGACGGAAATATAAACGTCATTTTTAGATTATTCTTTGTCAAATAGAATTGATTTCTAGCATTAAAAATAAACTCTTTTATGAGAAAAGTTCTATTGTTATATGATAAAACATTGAAATATTGAACAATAAAGATTAATGATTGTATTGAAGGAAAAATTTATAATTTTGAAATGTATCTCTGAAATAAGTTAGAATAAAATAAAGATTTAAAATCTACTAATAATCTGAACTGTTACGATCATATTGATGAATTTTTTTTTCTAATAGAAAAACACATTATATTACTGATAAAGTCCAACGAATGGAGCAGATTAAGCGGTACAATATGAATTTTTTTGGAGATACTCACGAGGGGACTCTTCTTACTGATAATCTCTGTTCAGACTCATATTTTACTGATTGTTAAGGTCCATTGTATAGATAAAAATTCAAAGAAGAGATGTGCCGTTAGCGATTTCTTCTGGAGTTATGATCATTTTACTGAATCTTCAGTCTATTGCATGATATTATGAGAAAAATTGAATCAATAAATTTTATCTGTAAATAGACCTCATTGTCTTTATAATATCCTGAAAGTTTCAGCTGAAATGGATGATTTCTTCTTAAGATATTGTACGCTCCAAAAAAATTGAATTTTGCAAGAAATTACTGCTTTTATAACTCTGTTATCTTGCGATAGCAGTGTTCGTTTTTGCTGAAATTTTCAAAATATCATAAGAACTATAAGATCTATGTGTGAGTAAAATTGCTTGATTCAATTTTCCTCGTAATAAGCTGCAATAAGCTAAGGATTCAGTAAAATGATCATAATTCAAGAAGAAAGCGCTAATGGTATATATCCTCTCTTAGAATTTTTATCTGTACAATGAACCCTAACATAATCAGCAAAATATGAACTTGAGTAGAGGTTATCAGTAGGAAGAATTCTCTTATCAAATATACTTTCAGAAAGTTATTTGATAGAGAATCTTTTGCTTTACAAAACTGTTGGATTTTTTTTTTTCTTGGAACAAAATTTAATATATTAACATTTACTCAATCGTCTAACTATTACAATTAAAAATGATGCAAATTTTATTTAGAACAGTTTTCTGAAATGACAAGCATGCTATCAAAATTCTGCATCTTTTATATGTTTTAGAATTTGAGAATAGTCAACTAGGAAAAACCTTTCTCTTACAGAATTATGTCGTTGTTTCTTTTTTATTTTGATAGAACCTAATTGTTTGTACTCTTCAACTTCGCAGTCACAACATTTCTACTCAATATTCGACAGTACGAGAAAGACTGTTTCATACACAACATCTTGCTTTGAAAAATATATTTTTTTTCGACATGCGTAAAAAAGAATATCAGTAGGTTTTATTCTCATGAACGATAGTACTAGAAACACTGAAAAAAAGTTCACACAAGCGGGAAGCACAAAATTCTCTATCCATTGATGTTAACTGTATTACTTTTTGGATTGATCTTCATGAACAAAGACTTACTGTAGAAAATCACAGTTGGATGATTGAACAAGTGTTCATATTTTAAATTTTGCTTCTAGAAGAAAAATTTATTTAAAAACCAAACAAAATAGTTACATAGAACAAACAATTCTCTACCATGTAACTTGCTGAAAATGTATCAGAATGATCCAGAAAAAAAAGGAAATTATATTGTCCCATTTAATCTGTGTCACTCATTAATATTCTGATTCATTTCTATTCTGTCATGTAATTGATCTTTATAACATATTCATAATACTGATTTTTCTTTGTGTACTTTTAACAATATTTAAAGAGCACATGTATGATGAAATGTAACGTAAAGTACATTGACAATTATCGACAGAACAAAGAAAATATTGCATGCTCCTTGAATATTTCGCAATACTCATAAGAGACTGTGCAATATATGTAGTATGATTTATTGATGAATCACTGTTGACATCTATTAAACGTATAGCGCTGTAGTTATTACACAATCATTACTATTTATTGGTTTAAAAAGTACTGTGTTTTTCTAAGCAACAAATTATTCAATATCAGATGGCAACATCATCTAATTCTACTACAAGACAAATCGCTCAACAGAATATGAATACTTCAATGAATCAATCATTATCTATATATGTTGGAAATCTTTCATTTAATACAATTGAAGAAGATTTAAAAAGATTTTTTAATGACAACTGTGGTAATGTCAAACGAGTCCGTATTATTTATGATAATAATACACGTCAAAGTCGTGGTTTTGGTTTTGTATATTTTAATACAATTGAAGCATTTAATGATGCACTTCAACTTCAAAATTGTCAATTAGATGGACGAGAACTTCGAATTGCACCAGCTGAAACAAAAAATTCTTCTACTCCTTCTTCTTCTTCTTCTTCTTCTTCTACTAATACTAGTACTAATACAAATGCAGCTGCTAATGTTACCAGCAGTGTTGTCCCTCAAACAACAAATAGATCAAGGACACAGGTAGTACATTGTAAAAAATCAAATTATGATGTTTATATAGGTCGACCTTCAGATTGGGGTAATCCATTTGTTATCGGTAAAGATGGTGATCGAGCAGATGTCATTAGAAAATATCGCAGTTGGATAATGCGTCAACCGGATTTATTAGCTCGAGCTAAAAATGAACTTCGTGGTCAAAGAATTGCATGTTGGTGTAAACCAGAAGCATGTCATGGTGATGTTCTTGCTGAAATAGCTGATGCTGATGAAATAAAACAGTCATAATAGTTTCTTTTTTGTTAAGAATTTATTTTCAAAAGAAATATATTATTCATTTGGATATTTGACTCTTTTAGTTTGTTTCTCATTTTAAAACTCCTTGGAATAGAATTTTTAAGACTTTGATATAAATCAGATTTGTTTATTGGATAAAACAAAGATCTATTGTTGGTATTAATGACAAGATTTTATTGTAAATATCAAAATATCTATTAGCTTACAGGAATCATTCTCCTCTTTTGCAACCAATAACATGTTTTTTCTGCTTTATATACACTTCGAAGTATCTGCTATGTACTGGAAATATTTGAAAAATTAATATATACCTATAAAAGTCGAAAAATCAAAAAAAAATGGAAGATTTTTGCTGAAAAGAATTTAAACATTATTTCACTGTTTTTTGAAAAAGTTGAGAGTTGTCCGCATTTCTCGATCACAGTACGTCCGATCTAGCTGAACCTGTCTTCTACTTATACTAGAAAATATTTAGAGTGCCTACTTTGTTTTTGTTATATTAAAATATGATGTACCGTTGGTTTGGACTAGGGTTACAAAACAAAAAATGCATTTTTGAAGCTATGCTTAATATTTTAATCTTGTTATTCGAATCGAAGGAAAGAAAAAAGAAATTAAAAAAAATAAAGGAGGCACTCCCAACAATGCCTAGCATCTGTAAAAAAAAATATTCAATTCTATCAGACGTATTGGAATTGAGAGAGCCGAGCAAGCTCAATATCTCATACAAGAAAGCATTTGAGAATTTTGTGTTTATAACACCTTTTACTCTACTCATCAAGATCTATCTATTCTGAAAATTTCAAATTTTTTTGAAGACCCATCCTCGTGCAAAGTTGGAAAAGCGGAGGAGCGATGTAGCCCTCTTAATGTTTGATAATATCAAAGATTCTCAAATAAAAAGCAACCGTAAGTAAATAAGATATTTTATTCTTATTTGTATGGTCAATTTACGTCTGACATTCAGAAAAAGTTAAGATAAGAAAAAGCAAACTTAAATAAACAAACGTTGTCTTTTGTTGCTCTTTTACCTTGATATTTTCAAGATATCTGTTTTCAAGATACAGTATGTTACAAATTTTTGGACAATTTATTTATAAATGATTTCGATTGCATTACAAAATTCTTACTAAATTGTTAGTGTCAAAATAAAAAGAATTTATGTCATGATATTTGTCTTCGTTGAAAAATGACTAAAAACAAGATAAGAGTAGAATGTAGTTATGTTATTTGATATAATCGTATTTACCCATCGTCTGTTTAAGAGTGTTAATAAATGAGAGATATCTAATAAGTGTCAGAATCTGTTTTTGTCAGATGGAAAAACAATCAAGACAGTTGTAAAGAGTTAAGTTCTTTTTAATAATCGTTACGCATATGTATCTCTTACGCTTAATTTTTATAAAAGAGTTTATACGTAGATTAAATGATAAGGTCTAGTCTTTGAAGAAAATTTTTGTAATGAAGACCTATCGATTAAAATTTGTTTCTTTTTTTGTATTTGATATTGAAAATATCAATTATTGTTAAAAAATGTTTATCCCTTTACATAGAAAATTATTATTTCTGGTGCCATTTTTCTATTCTTGAGGATATTGATCTAAACTTTATGGTGGCTACTGTTATCTTACTGTGTTCTGTTTTTTTCCATTTATACATATACATGCATATATCAACATATTCTTAGTTAGTCTGACCGAGAGGTGAAGCTAAAAGGAGAAACGATGCTCGTAGAGTAGAGTGTGCTGATAACATCTGAGAGAACAGAAAATAATGACGAGCAGTAGTAGTATCAACCATGGCAGTCACAGTCATAAATAATAAAGAGAATATACGTAACGGCAAGGAAAAATAGTCGAGCATACAGATACCTATTGATTACATAAAAACAATGATGGACATTCAAGACAGAAAAAATGTAAGATTTCTTTATTCTTTTTTATGTGTTTGCGTATGTCATTTTCTTCAGTATTCAAGATCTTATATATTTCATATATAAATTTGATAATGTTGAAAAAGAAAAATAAGAAAGTTTGCTAATCGAATTCAGCGATAAATGAAAATAGTAAGAGCAAATATCATTGCTGTCTCTCCTTAGTAGGATTCTAAAGTCGTTTTATGTATTACGGCATTGATAAGCGATAAGCGAAAAAGGAAGAGAAAGTCGTTTTTTGCTCCTGCTGGCCGTTCTCCCATTCGAAAGAATCACTTATTGAAAAGTCGCAATACATTTAATAAATGCAATATTTAGTTAGACGATTCATATTGAATATCTGATAATGTGGTTATTCAACGGACAACAAACATCTCCAATGGTAAACAATATATTTCTTTTTTTTTCTACTAATCTTTATTTTAGAATAAAGACGGAGACAGGAGAATACGACAAACATTCTTTATTATTCTTCTTTTGCGAAGATATTTTATTCATAGGTTTTTTTTTTTATTATTTCGTTTGCGTTTTTTTCTCGATGTCCTTTCTTCCGCTCTTGTGATTTGTTATTAATGTTCTTCAAACAAACTAACATACTGTACAGTAAAAATACAGATGACGATAGAAATAGAAAAAATAACAAAGTAAGCAACTATTTGAGACAACTATTCACTTGCACACATTATCTCGATGCATAGGAATAAGTAATAAAATAACGAATAGTAGCAAAAATTTTATACACATATGTGTAGGAGAAATATACATTCGCACCTTTTATCAATTCGTATAATGAAGACGAAGAAAAAAAAAAGAAGGAATTGTATACATATGGAAAAATATTGACGTATATTGTCTGCAATCTATCTCTGATACGTTAGTTATATTAAATAAAATCAATGAAAAACTGTTGTTATGGTAAGAGTAGTTTTATGTTTGTGGAATTTTATAGTTTTGCTACAAAGAATATTGTATATACTATTGTTATTTTAACGAAAACATAGTACTGTACGTATGAAAAATACAAGTATATCTACATAGTGCATTCAAAAGGAATAAAAGGAATGATAGGATGATTCATTCACGGAATGTACATAGAAGAATAAAAAAAAAACAGCACGTTCTTCTGACTGGACGTGTCTATAACTATGTAACATCATTGTAACACCTACTATCTACTTCTTTTTTTTCTTTTGTCTCCTTGTGCTGGAGAATGGTTATTATTGTCGAGTTACTCGACTATTGTTAAGGTAATACTTGCTTCGATTTTTTTATTATATGAGTGATTCGTTGGATAGTATAGTGTCAATTTCTACTTTCGATTGTTGCTCCTGTTTCTATTACTATAGCCTTGCAGGTGTCTTTAAATCAAATATATATATGTATTCATAAATAGGTATACAAATTTTTTTTTCCTCAGTTCTCTTCTTCGTTCTTATTTGTTCCTTTTTTTTACGCACATACGTGTGTATGTATGTGTAAAGTCTCCAAATCACATTTCAACATTATGAAACGTCGAACCAGTAGCAATAGTAGCAGCAGCAGCAGCAACCTTAATAGTTTTGGCAGCAACGACAATAATGATGTAGATTTATTTAAGAAAAAAATAATTTAATTGTTTTTCATTTAAATTTATTCGTAAATATGTAAATATTTAGATCAACTTTGACGCAGCACAATCAACATCAGTACCTACATCAATGGATAAAGAATATTATCGACAAGTACCATATAGATTTTTTAACAATGAATCAGATACAGATGCGTGTAAATTAGAAAAATTAACGAATTTATTTCCTGATATGAAAGCAATTATTGAATTAGGTATCATTAATTTATTTATTGAATCAAAAAAAACAAACACACGAAAAATATCTTTTTTGTTTTTTTTAAATTTATTTTCAAAGAATTATTTAAAGTGAATCATTTATCAAGTACAATCGATCGTCTTTCACGTATATATACAGTTTTACCAGCACTTGATGTTCGTGATGATACACTACATTTATTTCTTGGTCCATATCATCTTTCTCTTGGTCCAGCATTATTTGCAGCACTTCATTTTAAAAATGCTTCAGCAGCATTATTGACAGCATCACGTTCAATAACAACAGGTAATAGTGAAAGTCAACGACGTAAACGTCGACGTGAAATTGTACTTCGTCGATTTCGACGTGCTGTACGAAAATTAACTCTTGTTAAATCAATTATTGATCAACTTCACTCAGCTTCAATTCTTACACCATACAATCAATATGAATTACATACACAAGGAATTTATGATCTTGTATTAGCTGGACATACACAATGTTCTGATTCAACATTTATTAATGATAATTTTCTTGAACAATTACAAACTATGAATTCAGTAACAGGTGGTGGAGAACGAAGTCCTTTACTTGCATCAAATTATATTAAAATTAATAATATACTTAGTCTATTATCTTCACCTCAACAACAACAAGTACAATCAGTAGATAATAGTACGACAATAGCAACTAGAAAAATGATGCGATTTCCATCACATGAATCAATTACAAATGCAACAACTAATAATGATTCTGTTGGTTTAATAAATCCTACAACAGTCTGTTGTCATGTTCATGATCAAACACAACCTTATCTTATGTTTCCTATTCGTTCACCAATGAGTCCTCAACCTAGTCAAATATTATCATCGGGAAATCGTTCAAGGCATAACAGCAATTCTAATGTACTTAAGACATCATCTACTCTTTCAAGACAAAGTACGGTATGTTACAAATATAATATATATATATATATATACATATGTAAAATACATAAAACTTCATCGTGCAAACATACGAGAAATGTAACGAATACTTTGAGTCTCATTTTCTAGTGATTATATTATATTTGTGTCTAGCATACAAATATGTAAAGCATTTATAGATCTCTTTTTTTTCTATTGATATACATATACGAATAGAGACAAATGATCTCCTTTGTCAATTGGTCCTTTTGCTCATATATCCTGTTCCGTTTTAACATAATTACGTCATTTGAAAGAAAAAGCCTATCCAAACAGGTTATAGTTTTG